TAGAAATGTTGCTCCTAAGGAATCCTTCAACACAAGGATCTCTATTACATCTTTTCCTTAAAGCGATTGTTGCCAGAAACTGTGAACATTCTCCAAGGAAGGATGTCTCCAAAGTCCCTTCAAGTTTGAAAGAAGGACTGCTCAGCTTTTTATATTCTTCCCAAACAGAACACTATCAGTTAGTGTTGGACATAGGATACTACTCTAAATTGGCCTTTGATCTAACTTAATATGGCAATTCTAAATGAGATCAGTGTCGCTATGTTTTCTAAAAATAAAAGAAGAATTGTGTGGGTGTGCTTTAAAGGATAATAAGGATTTAACTATCTACAGGATGTTCACTGTAATCTCAACAGACACTCTCCTTTCCTGGTCAAAGTCACTTAGCATTTCTCACAACTGACAAATTTTCCAAAGTGTGATGTTAGCATACAATATGGTGGAAAGTAACAGGAGCAGAGGATGAATATATCCAAAGCCAAATGAACTATGCAATACTTGTCTTACTAGTAATGTAACACTCTATAATGCTCTTAATGAGAAGCATGATTAAAAATAATCACTTGTTCTCTCTACCCTAGCATTTAGATGAATGAAGATTAAGTAAATAAGAGCAAAATACGAGAAAAAAAAAACAACAATAAAGTAATGTAGGGTTAGTAATATAGGTAACAGGGGTTGACCTGCTGAAAAGCAACTCCGCAGAGAGGGATTTGGGAGTCCTGGTTGACAACAAGTTAACCATGAGGTAGAAAGGTGCCCTCGTGGCCAAGAAGGCCAATGGATACTGGCTGCATCAGGAGGAGTGTTGCAGGTGATCCTCCCCTTCTACTCAGCTCTGGTGAGGCCACACATGGAGTACTGGGTACAGTTCTGGGCTACCCAGTACAAGAAGGACATGGAGCTTCTAGAGTGGGTCCAGTGTAGAGCAACAAAGATGATTAAGGGACTGGAGCATCTATCTTATCATAGAATCATAGAATGCTTAAGGTTGGAAGGGACCTCTAGAGATCCTCTAGTCCAACCCCCCTGCATACGCAGGGTCACCTAGAGCACGTGGCACAGAACTGTATCCAAGCGGGTTTTGAAGATCTCCAGAGAAGGAGACTCCACAACCTCTCTGGGCAGTCTGTTCCACGGCTCTGTCACCTTCACTGTTAAGAAATTTTTCCTTAAGTTCCTGTGAAAAAAGGTCAGCACCATCGTCCTCGCTCCCTCCCTTGAGGTACTTATAGACTATCTTACGAGGAAAGACTAAGCGAGCTGGGTTTGTTTAGCCTAGAGAAGAGAAGATTGAGAGGAGATCTGATCAACATGTACAAATACCTGAGGGGAGAATGTAGGGAGGATGGGGCCAAACTCTTTTCGGTGATGGCTAGTGGTAGGACAAGGGGTAATAGGTAAAAGTGGAAACACAGAAAATTCCTTCTCTGTGTGAGGAAGAACTTCTTGACTGTGAGGGTGACAGAGCCCTGGAACAGGCTGCCCAGAGAGGTTGTGGAGTCTCCTTCTCAGGAGATCTTCCAAACCCGCCTGGATGCCACCCTGCCACATGCTCTAGGTGTCCCTGCTTGAGCATGGGGTTGGACTAGATGATCTCTAGAGGTCCCTTCCAACCTTAACCATTCTGTGATTCTGTGAATCTCTAATTTCAGAAAGTATATTGTTACTGAAAGGAAACTGGTTCTCTTGGTGCACTGGTAAGGTACTCAATGCTGGTATCTCTTCAAAAGGTGATGTCCAACAACGTTAAAAGGGTGGGGTGTAAGAAATAGATTATTTATATTTTATTTATTTTATTGTCCAGAAGTTCAAAGTACTTCCGAGAAGATATATCTTTGTCCCAGAGTTTATAGTCTATTGGATCTATTTGACAGATATGTGAGCTACAACATATCATAAGGAAGGACTAGGAAATGACAGGGTGCTGAATGAATTCTTTTCTCCATATTTTTTTTATTGCTGAAGAATTTCCTGTGACCACACAGTGAAGACTGCAGCAACAATTGCATTTCATATGTAAGAACATATCTTGGCCAAGCACACTTCCATCTGACCAAGACAATAGCCAAAAGTTTTCAATGCTTGCTGGAGAGAAATTACATCTTATTTATGCATCTTCTGCAGCATGGTTCATGCAGGTGCAATTAACAGACAACCTCTCAGCTCATGCTCTGAAGAATCCTCTCTAGCAGTGACCTCCATGCAAGACCAGTAAGTGCTGTTATGTGCCCTAAAGCAAAAACCCAGCAGTCCCTCTCCAATCCCCTCTAGCCTATTCCTTCCTCACTCTTTACATATTCTGTAAAACAATTTTCAATCATATAATCATTTCTTTGAGATTTCTGGACTTTCTGTCTTTGCAGGTCTCAGAGACCTGTCCTTCACCACCTGCCACAGCCTTCTTGCACTGCTCAGGAGGAGTAAGGGGAAGCAAGACCCCTGATCCACAATTCCAAAGTCACTTTATGTGGAGGCCTTCTGACAGCCATCAGAAACACTTGCAAATGCTCCCTGTTGTCCTCCCCTTGCTTGGTAGTGTACTGCAGTGAGTAGCAGTAGTAGGGGTATAAAGCTTATTTCCCCTCTCTTAATCTTGATTGCATCCCTTTGCAGTAAAATCGTCTCCAGTTTTACTTTCAGATAAACATTCTGATCAATTACGTGATCATCATCCTTTCATTTCTCCAAACTTTGCTCAAATGGCATTTTTTTTCCCTTTTGACACTCCAACTTGCCTCTTTTTTCCCTTGTGTCTCTTGGACAAGATTGCTGGGGTGGCCTCCTCCTTCTTCCTTCCTCTGTTCCTCAGACTGGCAAATATGATCATGAGATCTCTAAGCAGGTGGAGTATCAAGCAGAAGATGGAATTATCTCTAGGCATGGCACTGAGCGATACTGTCACTGGAAAGGGCTCATCTTTGATAGCCAACACTAGAAACTGAAGTTAGACAAATGTACCTTTTAACAAACGAGAGTAGATAACAACTGGAACAATTTACCACAAAAGTGATGGATTTCCTGTCTCTTGAAGTCTTGGTATCAAGACTGGGTGTTTCAATAAAATATATATTCCAACTCCAACTGAAGTTAGAGTCTTGATTCAGGAATTTCTGGGTAGGACTCTTTGCCAGACTAGACTCAAGGATCTTAGAAAAAAGTTCCTTCAGACTCTTTCAAATTAATTTAAAGTGAACATATTACCATTATATTTGAAAAAGACTATAACAATACTCCTCAATTCAGCTGAAAGGCAACAGTTTGCGGTGGCACTGCAATGGACATATCTGAACTCCTACTATACCATATTATGCATGAACACATGTGACTATATTCTGAAATAAATGCATGTTTTACCTGCTTCCAAGTTAATTAGCTACTACTACAGAAGAACCATTCAGCTATTACAGAATGGAAAAAAAAATACTGCATTTTCATTATTCTTACTGTGATTTACAAAGTCAAAATTATAAATGCATGAGAATGGAAGAAAGGAGGAACTGAACTTTGATGAGAATCTAGGGACATGAACGAACACCCGGCAAGGAGAAAGAGGGGAAAGAAACTCAAGAGCAAAAGAAAAGGTCAAAATAAGTAATGGGTAAACAATGTGAAGCGTAAGGAAGTCTGTAAGTTCAGCAGAAGGAAAGGAATATGTGGAGGGAGAGTAAAGGGAAGCAGAAGACTTATTTACTGAAAAATAAATGCTCCTAAAGAATTAGCGCATCCTAAAATGAAAGAGAGGTCTGCCAGCAATCTGCAAAGTCGTGTTTCAAAGAGTAACATTTACAGGACCTTCATACTCTTGCAAACACACACAAATGTATAGACATGCGGAGTTATATATGCTTATGTGGATATGTTTACACATATGTTTTCAATGCTCTTTGCTGTTCTTCTGGTTATATGGTTGATGCTGAGGAACTCACAGTCATTCCTCAGAAAACACAATCACCCTCTGCAGCAATGAAAGCAGGTGTCTTTCTCCCCAGCACAGGAGAACTTGGGAGCATGGAGTATATTAAAAGACTAAGAAAGCAAAGCTCTCTCTGGTCATGAGAGAAATGCAAGCAAACAGAGAACAACAAAATAATTATAATAAGAAAATTAAAAACCTTAAAAATCAATATTCTTCCATATTCACAATTAATATTTTAAAATTAATTTACTGATGCTCCAACCACTTCATACGACAAAAAAAAAAAAAAGAAAAAAGACATTCTCTGCAAAGCAGCATGTAAAAAGACCCCTCCTATAACATAGAGCTATTGTTGTATGATTTTATTCCTTATTGTTTATTATATATGTCTCTCAATTATTAATTGCAACAACCCCAGACCTCTGTCAGCAGCGCTGGGGAACTTCCAAGGCTCGGAAAGAAGAATCCAAAGCCACTAAAAAGAAATGTCTAGCTACACATTATCCCCCTGCTTCAAAAAATAAAAATAAAATAAAATAAAATAAAATAAAATAAAATAAAATAAAATAAAATAAAATAAAATAAAATAAAATAAAATAAAATAAAATAAAATAAAATAAAATAAAATAAAATAAAATAAAATAAAATAAAATAAAATAAAATAAAATAAAATAAAATA